GCCCTTGGCTGCCCTACGGCCTGGCCTCCCCACACACACAGCAGCAGCAGCAGCAGCAGAGCAAAGTCCATTTCATACCGTCCCATCCATTCTTCACCCATTCATCGAGCCATTCAGCCCCCCCCGGCCCAAGTTCGACAGCTATCGGCATTCCGTCCCCCCGAGTCCCCAATCCGCTGGCACATGTCCCATCCATCATCACACAATCACAAAATGAGTATCATGAGCACAGAGTCCGAAAGAGACCAGGACCAGGACCAGGACCAGGACCAGGACCACGACCATTGCATGCCCAAGCCCCACACGTAGCATTCTAAGGGCATAAAGCGTACTTATCGGCTTTTCCCCAAGCTGGGTCTCAGTCTCAGTCTAAGGGGAGAGAGAGGAGAACCCCGAACCCGGAACCCGGAACCCGAAACCCGACTAAACAGCATCTGAAGAGACCTGAACACTGGCGTTGAACTGCTTAAAATACCTTACCCCAAAACCAAAATCTCGAATGTCCATTAGCATACGACGAATCCACCTAGCCCCTTTACCCCCCTCAGTCCCGGGAAGAAGTTTCTTTCATTCGAACCACTCGGCAACTTACCACCCACTGAGGTCTTCGGGTTACCAGCCAACTCTTTGCCTCGATTTCGACCAGCACCACAGACAGAGATAGAAACAGAAACGGAGAGGGAGAGGAAGCGGGAGAGGGAGAGGGAGAAGAAGAAGCAGAAAGAGAAAGATACAGGGACTAGGACTGAGACTGGGACACACACATTTGGTCAGGGGAAAATCCACACCATCTGCTACACCTTACACCTAACCCAACAATCCAATTCCAAGAGAACAATATGCTTCAGTGGCAAAAACTTGAAGGCGCCCACCCCGCACCGCTCCGGCCCGCCCCGGCCCGCCCCGCCCCGCCCTGCCACGGCTTCGGCAACGGTCTTCGTCCAGAATTCCGGGATGGATGGATGTTTTCTGGAAGGAATTGCGGGTCTGGGGGGGGAGAGAGTGAGTCGACCGGCGGTTCCTGGCGGTTAGAGCCATATTGCAATGTATGGCCAGGGCGCATGGAGCACGCAGGCCGTGAATGTGGGACGTGATGCTCGCTCGAGTCGTGCCTCACCCTCGCCTTTGCCCGCTTTTGCCTTTGCCTCTGCCCATACCCCGGTCGTAATTTCAAATTTAAATTTAACCTTTTGTCTTAATACGGCCAGGCGAACAAGCAGCACGAAGCTTCATCCTTAGTCGCAGCTTCTGTTCGAATGGGGGCGGTGATGTGGGGGGAGTGGGCATCATAAAAACATCGTCAAGTCAAAAGGATAAGGCCAGGCCAGGCCAGGCTCGCTCCCACTCTGTCTCCCCGTCGGCCAGGGCAGGGCCCGGGCAATAGAGTTGTCCGTAGTCCGCAGTGCGAAGTCCGTGGTCCGTGGTACGAGTATGTGAGAAGCTCTCTCGTCCAACAGGATTGGGCCATTGTACTGGGGGGCTTAGACCCATATTATTGAGGGACGCAACTAATTTACGGATTTGCCAGCAACCATGCCACAGCCCACATATTGTAAGCTGCCCAGCAATTGCCGTGGGAATGGTTCCAGAGCCAGGTCCACTGGCAGTGGAATTGCCGCTCTGCTGGCCAGCGGACAGTGGCGAGTTCCTCCATCAATTGTTTGGCTAACAGCAGCTGGAAGTGTGGCAGAAGCTGCCCAGAGAAGGTACAAACAGGAGGAGAAGGATAGCCACCTTCTAGGGGGGCTGTGCTGGATAGGGGAGCGGAGCTGTGTCCAGACTAGGTGGGTTGTAATCCACGGGGGAGTGAGGGGGAAATGGCCAAAAATCCAAAATGGCCACTTGAGGGGTGAGACATTGAATAAATACACAGAACAGAACAGCGGAGAGACAGAGACAGGGAGAGCGAGAGTGAGCAGCAGGGAGAGCGAGTCCTTGTAGTGGACTGGACAACTTGTACACACAAAACAGATGGGCAAAGGCAGGAGGGGGAGGAGGAGTAGGGGGTGGCAAACGGGCAAACGGGCAAGGGCAGAGGAACAAAACGATGCAAACACAGCGACATCGCAGCTATCAACATAAAAGTCAATCTGTTGAAGGGGGTTGAATGCGAACACAGTCCGTGGCAAGCAGGCCCTGGCTGAGGGCGGGGGTTGACCATCCCCCGGGGCTGGGGGGTGTGAGTGGGTGGGTGGTATGGGTGGTGGTGGTATCCACCGAAGCAAAGCCCCCGTATTGACCCCTTTGTTGGAAGCCCACCACTTCAAAACGCCGAAACCAAATCCAAAACTCGAAGTGAGAACTGGACTCCGGACGTGGGCCTCACTCTCTCTCTCTCTCACTCACTCCTACTCTGTCTCTATCCTTGTCACGCGCTTTATAACTCTGGACTAGGACCAGGACCTGGACAAGGACCAGAACCAGAACCAGGACCAGAACCAGGACATTGTATTGCCTTGTTGTTAGTGTTAGTGGCCCGGTGATGGACGGCCGGTGGGTCTGAAGTGGCTGCCCGTTTGTGTTGCGGGGGCCGCCGCACTGCGCCCGGCAAATGGATTGAAATTGTACATATTTCACCTTGTTTGCCTCTCGCTCGCTACCCCCCCCCTACCCCTCCTCCGTTGGCTGCCCTGCCCTGCCGGGCCATACTTTTGGATAACGATTGAATCGAATCGCACCAGTCCACCCCTAATGGCGAGCAGAGAGACCAAAAAGCTTCTACCATGGCCATGACTATGACTCTGGAGCAGACCAAAAGCGGCCATTGCCATTCAACCCTATGACTGGAACTGGAACTCTGACTGGTGAGGTGGACTATGCTTGGACCATGGCCTTGGCCCACACCACAGCGTTCCACAATTACATTTATGTACGAGTATAAATGCGTCTCGCCGCTCGCCGCTCGCCTCTCGCTTCTCGTGATATCAAACAGAGCTACGAGTAAATGGAAAAACCTAAAAAACCAAAAGGTTGGGCCACAGGGAAGGCAATTGAAAATTCCAAGAGTTGTCAGTGCTAGCCAGAGGGGGGGGATGGCCACACCATCCGCTGGCTAATTTCTATTTTGGGCGGTAGGTATCCTACACGAATTGCCCCCAAGCAGCCACTGAGCACATGTCACCACTCAAACTTAAGGGCTGAAATCGGTTCGTGGTTCGTTACCCCCCACCCCCTGGTACAAGGTTGTCTTCGGTCCCATCAGTTTTCCGGGTCCCCACTCTGATTAGCTTAATCAATCTGTCGCGATCTGCAGCCGCTGGCTGCATGTTTCAGCACTCAAAGTTCGAGCCAAAAGTAGATTCGGGGTCACCATTTTGCTACCTTTGATGAGTTTATCAATCTAAAGCTTTATGTCCTTTCCAACCAGCCACTGAGTGAATCTTGCCACTGAAAAGGGACACATTAAAGGGCAGATCGAAGTCAGCTGTGAAAGTGAAAGTTTTGCTTAGATTTTGGGCCAATTGATGGTGCAGAAAAATGGCCAAATTAACCAGCGTTTATCGGGTGTAATCATCGCTCCATGTGGACAGCGAATGCCCCTCTGTCGTGGCTATCTGCGATCAGGGCTCTTGGCTGAAGTGATCTCGAGCTGGCGGCGAAAAGATCAAGCGAAGGCGAACAATGCGAATTGCCCAATTGAAGGCACTTCGTCGAGGCCACTTGACTTGATCAGTGCGTCCGATCAGCTGCTCAATACGTTCGGCAAAGGCCCCTCCCCCTACGAGCGGCGGACTGGCAAAAGCACAATGCGGATGGTTCTGTCCGATAAGACTGAGAGCGATGATGATGATGAGAGTGATAATTGCCATGGGCTACGTCCGATCTTTGGTGGCTGTCGAATGTGTATTGGAGAACGTGACGCGCCAGATTTGCGTAATTTGTAAGCACTTCTACTTGTAGCCCTTCTACCCCTAACCCTCTCTCTCTCTCTGTGAGTTGTCCCGTTCTGTGCTGTGCCCTTCTGTCCTACCCCTGCATGAGGCATTAGCTAGGCAAAGAGGAGCGCGCTTTTGTGCGGATTCATTGCGCATAACTCACACAGGAGACAGCAGAGAGTAGACATTAGACATTAGACAGGAGAGACAGAGACTGTTTGCTACCTGGTTAGCTATGGGCTATGGGAATGGGTATGGGAATGGGAATTCAGTTATTCCTTTATTGGGACATCCAAGATCGAAGCGGGTTGCATGCCGTAACCCTTTCGTAAATCGAGTTAATCCCACAGATAGAGCACACAGACCCATAGAGAAACTCCATGCACAGCAAAAACCATCCCGCATTCAGGTACATAACGATTATAATTGCCTCAATGGAAATTATTATCATTTTTCATTCGAGACTGAGACTCAAACTGCGACTGAGGCCTGACATCTGCCAAAGGGGTTGAGTGTGTCGCCTCGATGGGTCACCAACCCATCAGAAGGGGTTCGCGAAGACGCTGGCCAAGATCGTTTTGCCTGAGGTTGCCTGAAGTGCCGTCGCAACAATGACCCGAAAATGTCACCGAGAGCAGCGGAAATGCAAGCAGGACGTCCAGGTTCTTAGACTTCCACTCGAGGGTTGGCTCGGATCGCATGGGGTAGGTGCCGGGGCAGGGGCAGAGCGGGCAAATCAAGGTGAGCATGTCACACGGCGAACTAACTGACTTATTCATCTTTATTAATTGAGAGAGTGCAGAGTGCAGGGCCCGGCCCGTCCCGTCCCGTCCCGGACCGTGTCCGGAAGAGCGAAGAGCTTTGGACAGGAGCGAGGCGAGTCCTTTGGCTTTGTTTATGCCCCCACAGAGAAATGCATGACAAAGCACAATGTGCCAATAATGGGAAGTACGACCTGTCACATGTCACCAAAACAAAGGCAAAAGGAAGTGCTCTGCTCTCGCTCTCTCACTCTCTCTCTCTTTCTCGCTGGAGTGTGAGAGAGAGCGAACAATCGGAGCAAACCGAATGCAAACATAAAGGGAATCCCTAGCACTAGAAGCCTCTGGAATATAGTTCCCCACCCCCCATCAGTTTCAATTGAAATCAGAGCTTCCAGGCAAGCATCAAAATTTCACAGTACTAACAAACAAAACAAAATTCAATAGTCCACACAAATTTCTGCGATTGTTTTTGGTTTTTGGGTTTTTGTGTTTTGCTTTGCTTTGCTTAAAACCGCACCATGCCGAAGGGAACCAAGCTGCGCTTTGCCCTGATCACCGAGGAGCTGCTCGAGAAGCTGCGCCCCAGTCCGGAGCCGACCATTCCCATACGCAGCGCCGTCAAGGAGGTACTCAGCGAGGTAATGTCCGAACTGAATCTCAATCAGATGATCGAGGACAAGCTCGTGGAGCTGTTGGAGCGTCGTGGCATTGCCTCAAGCCAGAGCCCCAGCGACTGCCGCAGCCTGGGCGGCCTTGCCCTCGCCAAGAAGACATCCGTTTTGAGCATGCCCATTGAGTCGTTCTCGTCGGTGTCGCCGCGGCCCAGCGAGGTTCGCAAGCACAGGAAGAGCCAAGAGCGCCTGCAGCTCTCTCCGGCTCCTGTGGCCGCCAAGAAGAACAGGACCAGGTCCCAGACGATATTCATTCAGCCGACACACCGGGAAGTGACCTTCTCACTGGGTGACTCAACTTCCACGCATCGCGATGCCACACAATCCGATGCAGGCGCTACATCTCGAGAGGCAGCAGCCCCTACTTATCGGGATGCAGCCGCCACACAACGCGATGGAGCCGCCACACATCGGCACTCATCATCGGCACGTCGGGATTCTGTCTCGCCGCATCGTGATGCCGCTGCCACACAGCGAGAGGTAGCCGTCTTGTATCGGGATGTGGCCTCCAGCCAAAGACGAGCCGAATCGAAGTCCCATTCCTATCGCAAGTTCCTTTCCTTTGACCAGCAGCAGGATTACGTGCGCCGCAAGTCGCTACGCAAGAAATGAACTCGGAACTCGGAACTCAGAACTAAGTACAATTCCAAATTATTCCCAAACAAAAAGGAATTTTTATTCTACATATATTTTTGTTCAAATTTAAATTGAATTGAATAAATTTGAATTTAATTGCATTATCTACATATATGAGGGTTATACATATGTATTTAACACTGATAGCTATAACGTTTTTATTCCTATAATATTTAATTTACTCCTTCCCACACCGATATCAAGATTTCTAGAGGGCACAATCCATTGGCAATTTATTGAAAAGAATTTATTTTATTTATTATATATTTATTATATATATTATATTTCATACAACAGCTCAAACATTAATATATTTTAATAATATTTTAATTTTAATCGTTTAAATTAATTAGGGACGACCAATTTGGGTGCAACATTTTGTTGATAGAATTTCTTGCTTTTTAAAAAATTAATTTCGATATTTTGCAATCGTGTAAGAAGGAGGTTAAAGGGGGAAGGGAGCCAAATTATAGCCGTGTAGGACCGATCGGGGACAGCTGTACTTTGTATCTTGTATTCTGATATCGATTTCTAATATTAACATTAATGATCCAATTACGGACAAACTGCTTAAAATAATATGGAATTAAATTATCCTCCATATGTCCATGGGACATTTTGTTGTGCATTAAGTGGATACCTTTATGCCATATTAACTCCCATTTGTTCTGATTAATTTCCATGTCTGTTGGGAACACTAATTTGAGTCCAAAGAGCAAACCCTTACATGACTTTCGATTGGCCTTCGATTGTTATGGCAACTCGAGGACACCAGCAATGGGTTAACTGAATTGATTTTGTTGCCACACAAATTTTCACTCGTGCTAGTTTTCATTTGATATCATATCATTCCCGCTCCCCGCTCCCCGCTCCCCGCCCTACTAGCCAGCGAAATATGCAAAGTGAAAAATTGAATCGCCTGGCAATTGTAAAAAAAACACGGGTGGCGGGTGCGGGTTGGAGTGTGCTCTAGCTTCAGGGGCTTCAGCGGGGTCTAACAGTCAACGGCCATGCCCGTAGTCTTCGTCTTCGTTTCTCGCCTTTCGCCGCTTATCATCGAGCAGCAGACAAGGGCAGAGCATCAATCAAGCGTTTCCAATGAATGGCTATCGACTGAATTAGAAGACCAGCGACGACTCTAACCCCCTCACTGTAGCCCACTCCCTGCCGCGGCTCGCCCTGCCAGTGTCCCCTTTTGGCATTTTGCGTCTTGGCAAATTCTAGAACAGCACGCAAAACCACGCAAAAAAAAAAAACAGTCAGAGGACACAGTCCCAGGCAGGGACCGCAACCCGGCATGGACCAGGCCATATTTTTGCGGCTTAATATGTGTTAAAAAAAAAAAAAAAAAAGGAAATGGAAATAAATGTTTAAAAATGTTTTGCAGCAGTTGAGGCCGAAGTCAGGGGCAGAACCAAGAGGCAGCAGCTGAAGGCATGGGTCGGAGTCAGGGGAGGGCCAGCACCAGCAGCAGGAGCGGGAGCCGGAGCCGGAGCCGGGGACTGGGGCTTATCGCATGGATGTAGCCAGTGACAGGACATAACATAACCCTCGCTCGGTATCTCAGGCGGGCCATGATGCCATGCGTGGGAGCCCGTGAACCACTCACCCCTTCCCCTGCCAGTGTGTTCGTGTGTGTGTGTGTGTGTAAGTGTGACGAACGGTCACCCCGGACCAGGACATCACAGGACATGTGATGTGAGTGGTAGAGTGAGTGCGAGAGTGAGTGGGAGAGAGTGGGTTATCGAGTCAAAGGGGTAAAAGATGCTGACTAAGTACTTTGGAAAATTGCTTACATGCCCGACTCTTGGCCATTGGCAATCCGGTTCGTCCTCCCATGCCATCCCCTCCGACACTGGCCACCCCCTGGCACCCCCTGGCAACCCCTTCTGGCCCTTCTGATGTCCCCGTTTAGCGGTAATACATTGTCATTTATGTATGGTCTGCTACCCCCACCACCACCACCACCCGCACCCGATGGGGGGGCAGTGGGAGAGCCCTGTCATGTGCTCCTACCCGTGGCATGGCACTACTTCTCAATCCATTTGCCAGGCGAGTGGACAAGTGCTTGGATGCCATGTTTATGTTTTCCCGTTGTCAATCATTTCATTTTCTCTCCCTCTCCCTCTCCTTCTCCGACTCACCGACTCTCCACCCGAGACATTTCCTTTTGAAGCCAAGTTCGCGTTTCAATTTTTTCTCAGCTCCACTTTGTTGTTCCTGGAAGTAAGGAAGGCGGAGGAGGCAGCGAGTCGGTAATATAAAATCCACAAACGCCAAACAGAACTTCACATATGACAGCGGGGACAATCGTGGCAGGACCTAAAGCAGAGGAGCAGCTAAAGATGGATACACACACACACATACATACACGAGTATGTGTGGTGAGGGGATGAGCAAGATGTGGATGTGGAAGTGGAAGCAACGACTTGGACCAAGATGAGCGCTGCTCTCTGGATGTTTGTGATTTTTGAAGCGGAAAATCAAAGTTAAGCCGCGTTCACACTAGACAGCGACGCTGTGTAGGAGTAGCAGTGACTAAGAGCAGTGGCCAGGAGCAGTGACTAGGAGCAGTGACCAGGAGTAGTGACTGGGAGCAGTGACCAGGAGCAGTGAACAGGAGAAGTGACCAGGAGTACTGAACAGGAGCAGTGACCAGGAGCAGTGACCAGGAGCAGTGACCAGGAGCTGTGAACAGGAGCAGTGACCAGGAGCTGTGACTAGGTGCAGTGACCAGGAGCAGTGACCAGGAGCAGTGACTAGCAGCAGTGACTAGGAGAAGCGACCAGGAGCAGTGACCAGAAGCAATGACAAGGAGCAGTGAACAGGAGTAGTGACTAGCAGCTGAAGTCGTAATCACTGTAAAGGGAGATATATCAGTGGCATAAGACACTGCCAGTCGAAGGAGTAGCGGGAGCAGCAGGAGCAACATAAGTAGCAGTAACAGTAGTAGTACCAGTAGCAGTAACAGTAAAAGTAGCAGTAACAGTAGCAGTACCAGCAGCAGTAGCAGTAAACAGTTTAAGTAACAGTTCAAATAACTGAACCCTGTCATTCCCTGTCGTTCCTTTCCCTATTGGGCGGATGTGCCGCTGGTGTAAACAGAGCTTTGAGCGCGACAGGACGTGGCACTGCCCCATTGTGCGCGAATATCGCTGTGTGTACCCATATGTCTGTGTGTGTGTGTGTGTGTGTGGGTTTGTTGGAGCGTTCGAGTTTCAGAAAATTGCATTTTTTCATATCATTAGGTTTTATTGGTTTCTTCCTGTTAAATATTCCCAAAACTCCCCACGGTCGATGGTCCGCGGTCCACGGTCCGCGTCTCTCTTTTGTCTCGCTTTTGTCTCGCATGTTGTCAAAACAACAACACGAGCACGCTCCAAAAAGCAACCTGAACACACACCCATACATATATAATCATATATATGCATGTATATATGTATGTACATATCTATATATGTGGAGCACGCATCATATCATTTGGTAACAGATCTGAAACTGCGCCAACAGCCCGCAAAGTCTTGTCCTGTGACAAGAGCCTTGGCAGCCTCCACATGAGGCGACAACTGCAAGCTGGCGATTTCCTTTCGCCTTTGTAGTTCTCTCCATCTCCATCTTCATCCTCTCTCCAGCTCTGCTCCCCACCTGGCTGCGTAGAACAATACGCAATCGATTTGCCAGACCCGCCCCAATTAGTGGCCACCATTGGAGCGCACCAAAAAGGGTTCGATTGAGGGTTTGCTTCACAATATACAGAGAGAGAGAGAGAGAGTAGATAACGATAGTTCACAGCCCATGCCCATCCTATTGACCAACTGGGCTGTCTGCTCGCACAATATTTGTCCAGGCAAACACATTATCGACTGAAGAACTGTCGATTCGCATCCACCACAGGTCGATGCCTATGTAAATAAATGGATGGCATTGGCATTGGCATGCGAGTATGTGTATGGCACACCACACGCACGGACAGTACACGCCCGTGTCCTGTGTCCTGTTTCCTCTGTCTGTTGTCTTGTCTGTTGTATCCCACATCATCGGCCTGTCCTGGCCACCACAACAATGCAAATACGACAGCCTCAAACGGAGTCAACTTTACCTGCGTAAATCAGGATCTGCTGCTGCTGCTTCTCTGATTGACTGCCTGACGTGTGTACAGTTGGATAGATGGATGAATGGATGGATAGATGGTTGGTTGGTTGGTATACGAAGTATACATACTCGTATGTCCCCAAGAAAGAAGAGCCATAGCTGGTCAAGAGGGTATTGGGGGAGGTTGGGCTGGGTTTGGCTTTCGGTTGGGTTAAGTCTTCGACCCAAATGCAAATAGAAAGAGAGAGTCTGTACAACGTTTCAATATGCCACCAAACGATGCCGAATCTCCCCAGCAACAGACGAACGGCCGAACGGACGGACGGTTGGACGGACGGGTCCGTTCGCGTACCACCTGCAGTGGGCCCAGGTCGGACCGGTTCTCTCTCCTGTGGGCCCCCGGGGTCGTTTTGTGCTTCTCCTTTCGCTTGCTGACTCCTGCCTGCTGCCTGCTGCCTCCTGCCTCCTGCTCATATGTGTTCTCGGGCTCTCGGAGCTGTTGCCTTGTTGATGATGCGCTTCGGTGGACATCGCCCAACGGAAGAGGAAATGAAAAAAGGCAAGCAGCAACAGCAGCAACAGACCGCCTCTGACTCCAACTTTGAGTCCTGCGTCCTGCGTCGTCGTCCTGAGTCGTTGTCGTCCTTGCCAATTCCGCTTGGTTGGCTTGCAAAATTTTTCGAATTGGATACTCTCTGGCGACCAGAGAACGCCCACGCGCGCCGGGCACGCCGGGCACTGCCAACTGCCTAGCGGGCGGCCATGGGTCCACCCACCCAGTGCCACCCCCCCCCCTGCTCAATGTATCTCCCACTCTCTCTCAATGTATCTCTCTGTCGTTAGCTGCTTGGCATACCCGTACCCTCAGTCAGACCCTCAGTCTACCGGGCGGTCCGGGCAGGTCCTTACCATCGTTTGTCCTCTGTCGAGCATATGACCAAAGGAATCACCAAGCAAGGATGTCGGCGTCCCCATGCGAGGGGACGCTGTGTATCGGTGTGT